CCCTCCCCCCCGGCCCCCCCCCCCCCCCGCCCCGTGCTTACTCCTTGGTTCCCTTCTCTTTCAGATGGGCTTCACAGGAATCGCTGTCGGTGCTGCTATGGTTTGTAAATTTGCATTCCTCTCCTTCTGATTTAAAAACTAAAAATAAATTGGTTTTATGTAAAAACATACTAATACGTATTTTAACATATTTAATAGGCAGGGTTGAGACCAGTGTGTGAATTCATGACGTTCAACTTCTCCATGCAAGCAATCGATCAGGTTATAAACTCTGCTGCCAAGACCTGTTACATGTCTGCAGGATCAATCGCTGTTCCCATTGTCTTCCGGGGCCCCAATGGGGCATCAGCTGGAGTCGCTGCTCAGCACTCACAGTGCTTCGCCGCTTGGTATGGGCATTGCCCGGGACTGAAAGTTGTTAGTCCTTGGAGCTCAGAAGATGCCAGAGGTCTGCTGAAAGCATCAATACGGGATGATAATCCAGGTGAACACAGGCAGATCATGACAACACCTAGCACTCGATCCTGAAAACAATGTCTGTTTTCTCCTCCTGCCCCATTTAAAACAAACAAACAAAAGATTGTTAAACCCTAAAATACTTAAGGTTGCTTTACTGCAGCTTTAGGGTACTTACAAAGGCACAGAAGTATGTATTCTTTTCCTAATAGTCACTTGCCTTGCTAGCAGTAGACTAGTTTTGTGCTGTTGCCAGCTACATATCTTTACTGCTAGTTTGGTACCAGTCAGGAAACTTAGAAGCATTTATGAATCTATCGTAAAGGGGTTAAAAAGGATGAAGATGAGTCAGGAGGAGTTCCTGCATATACAGTGTCTATGTAACTCATTTTTACAGATCATGAAGTTCAGATGATAAATTCAGAATGTCATTAATTAAAAGCAGGGCAACCTTTCTCTTTATTTTTCACAAATAGGCATGCAAAATCTAAGACCTTTCTAAAACTCATGATTCTATCATCACGTACCAGAAGTTAAATACCTGATCTCATTTAAGACTAATTGTAGATAATTTTTTAAATAATTCAGCATTAAGACTGTGATGATTTTTTTTTTAATTGCTTCTGCAAACATACTCAAGTCCTTGTTGTCTGGATGGGCTTAGTATCTTGAACTAGTCTGCTGCAGTGCCGTTAATCATAAGTACAGTCCTGTGCCTGCAGATGTATATGTTAATCAAAGTATGTTTTCTTCTAGTTGTGATGCTGGAAAATGAATTACTGTATGGTGTTCCCTTTGAAATGTCTGAACAGGCACAGTCAAAGGATTTTGTTGTTCCAATTGGAAAAGCTAAAATAGAAAGGCAAGGTAAGCTGAGAATACAGTTTGTTTCCATATTAACCAAACTGCTTGGGGACTTTTTTTAACTTCTTAGCTATTCAGAATACTGCTGTCATGGGACACAGAAAAGTGTGTCAAATGTTAAATGTTCCAATGTTATTTTATCCAGTAGTATACTTTATTTTTCTGTTGCCCATACAAGGAAAGATCACCTGATTCTCTATATCTTATCTAAAGCTATACCCTTCTAAAGGATTTGTTCCATAGTATATAGAGTAGATGATGCCTGAAAAACTTTTTTCCTCACCTATGTAATGTTTGTCAAAAATGCAAAAAGAGATCACTGTAGTATTTCAGCCCATTTGTTTATAATTTACCACTGAATTACATGAATGTTTGAAAAGGATAATCTAGAAACTATATTAAATATATCTTCAGTTCCCTGAATTAAAGGGTAAAGTTTGTGTCTTAGCATAGTCCTTCACTACCACTCTTTGTGCAGAACACTTAGCATTTCAAATAAATGTAAGGAACTTTACATTTAGGGTTTTTTTTCTTTTTAAACACTTGTTTCTGTTCTAGGAACACATGTTACGTTAGTGTCACACTCAAGACCTGTTGGACACTGTTTGGAAGCAGCTGCTGTACTTGCCAAAGAAGGTGTAGAGTGTGAGGTGGGTGGGATTTCTGTTGTTTGTCTCTTTCCCTGAAGTGGGGAAAAAAGCAGAGGGACTTCCTGTTCAGGCTCTGCAAAACTTCAGTGTTATTAACTACAAGCTTCTTATATTTGTAAATGCCTTAACAGCATGTGCATTTCATGTTTCTGCATTTGACCTTTTCATCACAAAGTTAAGGCAGAACTACTAATGATTTTCAGATTGACCCAGCTGTATGGTAAGCAGAACAATGACAATATGTATTAGTACGGTTGTATCTCGATAGAGCAAGAGTCACCTACTTGGGCTTTTCCAGGAGCCAGGAGAAACTGTTCTGCACAGTCTCTGCCAGAAAAAAGTTAGAAATTTTATTAACTTTAAGTCTTGTCTTCAAAGTCAGGATAGATGAAAGTGCTAAAGGGCACTGTACACAAACAGTGGTAACCGACAGGCTTAAATCATAGCAAAACTCGCACATTCCCTTTTCTCCCACCCCCGCCCCCCCAGGTTATAAATCTGCGTACCATTCGACCAATGGATATTGAAACAGTGGAAGCCAGCGTTGTAAAGACAAACCATCTTGTAACTGTAGAAGGAGGTTGGCCACAATTTGGAGTAGGAGCAGAAATCTGTGCCAGGATCATGGAAGGTACCGAGTTTTGCAATATACTTCTTGATCTCATTCCCTAGTCTAAATCCTGACAACTTCTTGATAAAGCCAGATGAAGGCAAAGTTAGGGGTTTGTATCTGAGGAGGTTGAGCCTAGCTGTCTTGCTCTAGAGATTTTCACAGGGTGGATCGAGCTAGTTTTCTGTTGCGAGTAATTCTTATCCCAGAAACTCGACTGTGTGAGAAGTAAGATGGAAACTTTCAGTCTAAACCATAGTGTGTGAAGATGAACAAGCAGGAACAGCTCTCTGGAATATTGGAGCTGCAGGAATAAAATTGTTTAAATGGATTAAGATTAAGAAATTGAATTGAGAGAAAACGGTAGCGCATGGCAACCTGACAACTGTTTTCTGTTTCAGGATCTGCCTTTAACTACTTGGATGCTCCAGCTGTGCGTGTTACCGGTGCAGATGTTCCTATGCCTTACGCAAAAATTTTAGAAGATAACTGCATACCTCAAGTGAAGGATATAATATTTGCAGTGAAGAAAACTTTGAATATCTAAGTTGTAAATACATGTTTTAAAGTCCTGCTTTACAAAGTATTAATGGTGTAGGGCAAGTTGTATGCATAACTTTTGTTGTATAGCTACATGAACTTTTTGTACAGTGGGCAAAGTATAGTGATCTCCCAGAATATTTATATGGGGTTACCCTCTAAGCCATAGTTCGTGTAAGCAATGATGTGGTAATGCTTGTTCGTTCAACAGTACAGGTGGGTTAGTGCTACTCTATGTGGAGAAATCCTATTCTAAATTCGGAATGAGGAAAAAATCCTCCATTTCTGCTTGGCTTGTAATAACCACACCCGTTGTGTTAAACTGTTGGCTGTAGTGGTGGTTGAGTGAAGAACTGCAGTGAGCAAGAGGGGGCCCCAAGTCCTGCCCTGGAATGCTGTACAGCTCTCTAGGAGCCCATGGTCGCAAGGCTTATTAAAGGTGAATGATCAAACTGGAGTGAGTGAAGCCTTGCTTTTCAGTTCAACAGTTAAGTGCAACTATCTGTACAAAAGTGGGTTTGGAAGCCTGCAGTATGGGTTAAGAGTTGGCTAACATGTTTAGTTTCGAAGAGCACTCTGCTCATGCAGGAAAGCTTCTGCACAAGAGCTTAAATAAAGATCCTGATCCTCTTCAGTAGGTGATGGGAAACGCTATAGAATTTTTCTTCACTAGCTGCCACATACGGTGATAAAAAAAAAATACTTGCCCAGATGCTTTGCTTTATGTATTATTTTTTTAAACTCAT